CAATTTCGGTTCAATACTGATTTCAATTTCATTGCTTCAATGGCATTGAGACATATAAATACATTTCAATGCGATTGCGCCATCTCATTGAAAGTTTAAATTCACCGAACGCTTTCAATACAATGATAGCAATATTGTCTTTGTTCAATGCTATTGAAACGTGTATACATGAAGATTGAACGGTGACTCATTCAGAGCACCGCACGACAACTATTTAGCGTGCGCACATGGATTTTCTTAAATTATTTTCAAGTGGCGTGAAAATGGGTTTTAAGAAGTTTATTATTATATTGACTTTTTGTCATTCGCAATTGGTTCAAATTAACAAAAAGAATTTAGATCTTCTTCGGCCAATTCTACTAATAAGGTGCTTGAAGCTCGTTTAATTATCCTTCACAAAATCCACGGCCGCACCCACCAACGCCGCGATTTTCTTTTTTTTATTTATTATTTAACTCATTTACGGATTAACGAAATTTCCGGACGTACGATTTGGCACGACATATCATTGCGCTGTGAACATTGAATGTCATTTAAATGATTTACGTGTATATTGGTAAACCCGCTCAATGTGCAATGTTCAATGCTTTTCAATGGAATTGTTTCAATTTGGTTGATCCGTGTAATATCGGCTTTACGTGCGGTATTGTTTTGTAGTGTGAATTCGCGATGTTATTGAGTGCCACGGAATCAAGTGAGGACAGTGATTATGTATACCGAAAGAAAAAGTATATATTATTATATCTTAAGCACAGAAAAAAACGTGCAAAACGGAGATTTTGGTTATGTCGGCACATTCGAGAAAAAACGTTGAAAGGAAAATATAGGCTATTGAATAATTTGGACGACGAAAAATTTAAGAACTATTACAGGGTTAGCAGAGAACAATTTCAAGAACTTTTGTCATTTGTAAAGGCCGACATTTTAAAATTTTTATTTTAAAACAGCAGCGTCGAGACCGCGACGCAGCGGACACATGTTACTCGTTTGGTCCGCTCCGCTCAACTCGTTTTCGGCGGAAACACTACTTTGTAAAATTCAATTGCGAGTGGAAAGGACTCATTAATGACTCCGGTCCGAATCCGCAGCTCATTTTTACTCTTTTCGCCCTCGTTGTCATTTACACTCGACTCTTTGTTGGTGGAAACACATGTGTGCAGTTTTGTATTGCGAGGTAAAAGGAGTAATTAATGGGTCTGTTCCGTTCGCGGTGGAAACAGGGCTTAAGCGGGGTATAAAAGGGCTGTCGACGTACTGTGAACAAGTAGACGGTTTACGTACAATCAATGGACTATAAAATTATAGTGTCAAATGCATAAACGGCTAAATTGAAACTTCTTATCGTTCATTTCGCCTAGCAACGTGATGACCGACGCGAAAACGTAGTCGGATAATATTAGTTCATATTATATTCGTTGAAATAACATAATTGCACAAACAAAATTAAACTGTAAAAGTAATCTGCGTAAGAGTATCAATAGTAGTTTATTATTGTGTTAGGTGAAAAAATGGATGCCGTCATAGTAAAATGGTGTGTGCAAAAGAGAAGGGCTAGTCGAACGATACCTAGCTTGTACTTGTCTGTTATTTTGCATTTGTGATAACGACCTTCCAAATACGCCTGAATAGAGAATATGACTTTGTAATTAACTCTTTGTAATTAGCCAGTCCTAAGCTTGAAAAAATATGAAGGTGGGTGCTGCTGACAGAGCACACAGATGCGTCACCCGTGTCAATGTGTGTAATTCTTGCGACATACGATAACGACTTCCTTTCCTTTGGAGTGTACTAGACGAACACGCATCTCGGGTTCGATAAAATAAATCGGCATCAACCAGTAATGTGAACAGTCTAATCATTTCCCCCCTACACATGCCTTTATGATACACAAACCACCAAGTAACACAACATTGGTGACCCCGAAGTAGGCCTTGTTAGGGGAAGTGATACACGTCGTGCCGCAAAACTACACGCCAGAATGGCTCAACCAACGCCAAAACCGACACCACTCCCAATGTCATTCCCACTGCGGCACTGAAGGCAACACGCTCAAGAATTTGTGGCTAGCGAGACTACCGGCATGGATCCGCGCGATCTTGGCTACCAACAGAGCACACACGAAACTAGATGACCTCGCTGAGATGGCAGACAAGGTGATGGACAATCTACGCAACGGGGAGCATTTGGCAGTTGACGTTGGTTCGGCCCGCAGCTCGTCATTGACCCCGACAGTGGCAGAGGTGAATGTCGAGCTGCTGACCTAGATGAAGACCATGGCACTGGAGCTAAAGACGCTGCGCAGTGAGGTAAACACCATCAACAACCGCCGTCATAATAATGGTGGTAAGCGACGGTTACGTAACCGTTCTCGTTCGCGTCCCAGCTTCCGTACACCGCAATGGACGCCACGCAATGAAGAGTGGCTGTGCTGGTACCACTTCCGGTACCGCGAGGCGTCACGACGATGCGAGTCTCCCTGTAATTGGAAGAAGATGAACAACACCAACAAGCCGGAAAACTGATGAGGGTGCAGCCCGATGCGGTAGTAGCCTGCATTAACTTCACAGAAAACCATCGCTTGTGCGTCACGGACACTAAAATGGTATGAATTTTCTTATTGATACTGGTGCCAATGTGTCGGTCATACCAGTGACTAAAACTAATCGAAAATATCGTAATCAGGTCAAAAGGAGTTCCGATTCTCCATAAAGTCCACAAGACGTATTTAAGTATATTTATATGTCGGAACGTCTATAAAATTTAACTTAGATCGAGGTGGAAATGAGGGTATATCGAGAAACCCCAACTTGTTTGTACAGTATAAAGTTCACTGTAGGTGCCGTCCGGGGGAGGTTCCGCTTAAGTCATTCAACATATTTTTTTTATTGGAAAACTAGCTGATACACACGACTCCGTCCGCGTTCTTAAAACTTTAATAACTTTATATTAAATAAAGATATCGCAATTTTTTTTTATAGGAGAGGGGGCAAACGAGCATGCGGCTCACCTAATGTTAAGTGACTACCGCCGCCCATGAACAACCGCAACACCAGGGGAATTGCAAATGCGTTGCCGGCCTTTTAAAAGGAGTAGGTTCTTTTCTTGAAGGTGCCTAAGTCGTATCGGTCCGGAAAAATCGCTGATGGTAATCGATCCCACAAGGAAGTCGTGCGAGGAAGAAAACATCTTCTAAATCGCACAGTGGTGGACCGCCAATCATCCAGATGGTGTGGATGGTATCGGGAGTTCTGCCGCGATGTGCGTTCGTGAAATTTGGCGGCTGGGATTAATCCGAACAATTCCTCAGAGCACTCCCCGTGGTAGATGCGAAAGAAAATGCAAAGGGATGCAACATCTCTTCGCAGTGCCAATGAATCGAGCCGATCGGAAAGGGCTCGGTCGTCGACAATTCGAGCCGCTCTGCGCTGGATGCGGTCAAGTGGAAGGAGCTGGCACTGGGGAGCCCCTGCCCAGAGATGGGAACAGTATTCCATGTGAGGCCGAACCTGCGCCTTGTAAAGTTGCAGGCGGTGTGCCGGCATGAAATACTGTCCCGCTCTGCTGAGCACGCCAAGCTTTTTAGAGGCCAATTTGGCCTTCTCTTCCAAGTAACCACGAAACTGCACGTCACTCGATATGTCGACTCCGAGGATTCCGATACTGGCTGAGGCAAGAAGGGGAGTGCCTTAAAACTGAGGAGATACGACAAAGGGTTTTTGAACAGGACTAAATTTAGTCGCCCCCAATCCGAGACTTTGTTCAGCAAAGACTCGACTTCAGACAAGTTTGTTCCGATACTCGGCGACGTTTTCCCGAGAAATATTGGCACGGCCGGTGTATAGAGCATCACCAGTGCTGTCATCCGCATAGCAATAAATGTTGCCAGTTAGCAACATATCATTGATATGCAGAAGAAACAGCGTTGGTGATAGCACACAGCCTTGTGGAACACCGGCGTTAATAGGCTTGTAGACGAAGAATGCACCATCTACAACGACATTAATGCTCCGAACTACAAGGAAGCTGGTGATCCAATTGCGTAATTTCTCGGAAAGCCCATAGGAAGGGAGCTTCGAAAGAAGCGCTTTGTGCCAAATCCGATCGAAGGCCTTCGCAATGTCCAAACTAAAGGCCAATGCTTCTAGTTTTTTCTCCCTTACCTTATGCGTGTTATCTTGCACAGGTCTGAAGAGGTTTTTGGCGGGAACTTGACCGGCGGCGGTTTGCTGCTTCTGTATTATTGTTTAAATAATGGTTTGAAGTGGACTTTGATATGTAAAAGTGGTGCGATTTTGTGTATTATGTATCCGCGCATGTGAACTATTAGTGGAAACTGTGAACCAAGTGCTCTGATGGTGATGTGATTCTCAAAATAAGGTGTGTGTCTGCTTAGGCGCCTTGAGATACCATCGCCAACCGTCAGCTGTCTGCTGGGTCAAGTTGCCGTCAAAATCTCCCAAGGGCTGCACAATGTGACGCATCAACATATTGTGAAGCAGTATACTATGAAGGATAATTATTATAATATATTGTAACTTCAGGCTCAGAAGAGCTAGATCCCAGAGCCGTAAAACCAGTTATTAAGAAGAAGAAGCACATTTAGTTACATATTGTCAGTACAAAGGTACTCTGTGGTTTCACTTTCATAGTTATAGTCATCAAAGTTGGCTTGAAGAGTAGAACACAGTCCAAGTTCACTTTGATTAATGCCTACATCAAAGTGCGCTTTGCTTGCTCGTTTACACGATCAAAGTAGCGTCAAAAAAGTCATCAAAACCACGTTTTCAAAGCAGACTTTATAAGTAATAACTTATTACTTATAAAGCCGCGTTGACACGATCAAAGTCTGCTTTGACAAAGTGGTTTTGATGACTTTTTTGACGCTACTTTGATCGTGTAAACGAGCAAGCAAAGCGCACTTTGATGTGGGCATTAATCAAAGTGAACTTGGACTGTGTTCTACTTTTCAAGCCAACTTTGATGACAAAAAACAAAACAAAATGGCGTCAAATGTAAAACAATGGAATCTCGCTCGCAATAAAAGAAAGTGGAGTGAGCGGTATACTCTCAAATTCGCAGAATTATATGAGGCAGAAGTAGTTCTTTGGGACGTGAGGCTCAAAGAATACAAGAACAAGGATGCCAGAAACGCGGCGTTGCAGCGCATGGTGAAAAATCTTGAGATAGACTGTGTTACTACTAAAATTGAAAAAATAATATTAGATGCTCCCATTTTATTGCAACGTAGAATATAGGAGTGAGTCCAAATTCTCCTTTTGCGGGTTTTTCTTTTCTTTAGTCGTTTTAACCCTGGTATTAACAAGTCTGCGATGATTGCTACACTGTATAGTAATAAATCTGTCTCGTCAGACATATTTTTATGGGTGTTGTTACTCTCGAAGGACGGTAAAAATTAACAAACTGATTCAAGTCTATGTACGTGTCAAACGGTATCACAGTGAAACTTGACCAAAGCTATATTGTCAAAGTTAAGCCCACTTTTCACTATGGAATATAGTGTAATATATATTATATCTTGAGATATAAATTAATATCGCTCACCGTACTTTTTAATGGAACCGTTTACACTGAGATGTAATATATATTACATCTCATACTATAAATATTTTCGATCGACTGAGCGATATTTTCATATTATATTTCGCCCCCTGTACCCCGCACACCGTTCCAAACCGCCGCAGTACGATGTGCGGGGTACAGGGGGTAATCCAATGACGAACACACACTGATTAAAAGATATATCTCATAGTGTGAAAGCCAATCGCGGGATATAATTTATATCTCGGGATGTAATATATATTATATCCCATAGTGAAAAGCTAGCTTTACTTTGTCAAAGCAGACTTTGATCGTGTCAACGCGGCTTAACCCTTCGCATGCCTGTTGGGTCTTAACAGACCCATTACTTCAGAAAAACGTCAATATTTTTTTATAGTTTTTAATTATATGCATTGCGCGTCTTTATACCTTCCTGATATAGACTAAAGGTCAGTTTACCACCCCTTCCGAAGTTATTCGCATGTCCGCGTTCAAGTAACACGCGTGTAAAGTGCGCGCGGGTCTGAGAGACCCTACTAGACATACGGCGTGACTTTTTTTGTAAGTGAATGTTTTATATTTTTTGTGATTTAATGGTTTTATGAATGTAAATGATTGACAAAAAATCTATTGTTACATTATAAATGCCCAAACAATTAAGTAATTCTGACATAAGACGTGTTTTAAAAGAGGAATATGTGGAAGATGACGTTATCTTAGAAAGAAGTGGGGACAAGTCTGATTATGGCAGTGTTTTCTCAATACTTTTGCAATAAATGCAAAAATTGTTCAAATGTTGAATACATGATAAACCACCAACCAGAAGAGAATTCCTAAGAAGCTCAGGCATGGCATCGATATGTCCACATCAAGCTGTAAAAAAACTAATTTGCACCTTTCACCTCGGGGAACCATCAGGACCTCCACATCATAGACCTTGTGCTAATTTCAAAAGACGTTGCTATTTGTGTCTGGTAAAAAAGATGGTTAATCCAAATACATTTATGTTGGGTTTTTGAGCCACATTTGCATGGAGCACACCAGCTTTCTATGCGAAAATTGTCACTTATCTGAGCCCACAATAAATATGGTTAGCCAGTGTTAATTTTTATTATATTGTTAACTAACCATGGCAAATTTATCAGAGCTTTAAATAAACCAAAGTCTGATTTGGATCACTGTTTTTAGTTTAAGATTTTGATTAAATACTAATGAGTCTATTTTTTGTTAACTTGAAAAAGCTCCTACAAATATAGTAAACATATTTGCAACATACCTCCATATCTCTAGAGCATTATTTTATGTAAAAATTAATAATAATAATTTCGAGTCTGTCAGCCCCACCAGGTATACGGCGTGATTTCAATCCACCAGGCATACCGAGGGTTAACAGAGAAAAATTCATAGACAAATAAAATAAATATGTAGCAAGCTAACACTAACACAAACTATTATGGACACAGAATACTCTTACTTATGAAGTGCTAGCGCAGATTTATTTAACTATATTATATTATCGTGGGTTGGTACCACGACCTCACAGAATATGCTTCTGCGTTTCGTCTGGTGAGTGCAGGTGGCCGGATGCCCATTTCACCCTCCCCCCCTCCATCAACATGGTAGCGGAATTACATCAAAGACTACCCCAGGAGAATCCCTCGCTGAGCATCCACGACCATATTACTTCACTCCTGAGCGTGGGTGCTCAGGCTGCCCCGCGTATTTAAAATAATATATTAATATATATATATTTAATATAATATTAAAATTCCGCTCAAAATAGTAACTGCTCGGGGCAAACTGAACAACAATATCAAGGCGACCCCTGCCACGCTATCCGTGAATTTCTGCAACATCAGGAGACTTCACTCGAACCTCTCCGGCTGATACTTCGTATCTCTCCTGCCCGGGGTACAAATTTGAGCACTCCTTTGTGCCTCGGGCTGGAGTTTGCGTATATGTCAGACAGAACATCTGTTCTCGACGCCTTGGCAGTCTTGACAGCGACGACTATCCACGCGTCTACGGGTGCCTCTATAGGTCCCATAGCGGTAATGCCGAAACAGACCGACTCATCGACCACGTCCAAATGGCTACAGATTCCTTGCTACAACAGGTACCATTCGCAGAGATCGTGATCCTTGGCGATTTTAACGCCCACCATGCCGAATGGCTCGGTTCACGTTTAACCGATCATGCGGGGAGATTTGTTTATCACTTTGCCTTGGCATATGGTCTGACACAACTGGTTACTTCGCGTGGAGGATCATACAGCTTCCCTGTTAGACCTTCTGCTGTCCTCTCATCCGGACGGATATCAGATATCCCTCGATGCCCCTCTCGGCTCTTTGGATCACTGTCTGATCAGGAGTGTGGTGCCACTCACGCTCCCCTCGCGGTTGCGTTCTGCAGGTTGCCGCCGTGTTTGGCATTGGGACGGAATGCGGTCTTTCTTTGCATCCTACCCATGGGGCGGGTTTGCTTCATCCGTGCGCTGATGCGCACGATGATCCGGCGAAATACGACACGTGTTTCGCCTCTACACGAGGCATCTTCAGGTGATATAGACTCTACGGTGGCTAACAGCTAAGTCAATCTTATCGTCAGTGGTGTGTCTTGCCTGGTGTAGTGGTGTTGGGAGTAGCGGTGCTGGGACTAGTGGTGACGGGGATAGTGCACGCAGTTGAGGGAGGGCGGGAGGTGCTCTTCATACTAGGTAAGGCACATCATTTGACGGATATTTGCAAAGTAAATTTTTCTAAAAGCTTTTAAATAGTGAATTTATTTATCTTTGTAATTGCATACTTATTCCTCACGTTATATATGTAGTATATAAGTTACATCATATTTTCTAAAAGTTTAGTAAGGGATCATTTTATACACATGTATGTATAAAATGATCCCTGGGGATCATTTTATACCTAAAATATTTAATATTAGCAAAATAAAACACCCAGCTGTTTATTTTAATCCTATGTATTGCTTAAAGCAACAATAGTATGTAGGCGTGTTTACACATAACATTTTAATTGAGCAGAGGACGTCGATTCTGGGGCACGCATTGTGATGTCAGGATTTCTTCGTCTAAATCCATTAAGCCAATGGTTTCCAGCTTTTTCTTTACTTATGCGATATATTTTTTTCTGCTAATTGGTAAGCTAAGAGTAAAACATCTTGTGTTGTCAGCCCGTACATTCTAGACTTCATGTTTTATATGTGATCAACAAGTTCCCTTTCCTGTTCTTGGCTAAAAAGTTGTTCGTCTGCCACCTAAAATTTGAGAGGTTCCTAAAGTTATTTAATTTTTACCTTTCTCTTATTTTTACAATAGACACAGAAAACTCTCTATTTGCGGATTTATAAGGCAAACCATCTTTGACGGCATTTAGTGCCTTTAGCATTTGTTCCTCAGGCCAATTTTGGCGAGTGGTTTAACGTTTAAACTCGCGGCATGATCTGTAGTAATAAAAATTTAAAGTAAAAATATTATTAAAAACAAACATTATGGGAATGGTCTAAAAAGAAAATAAGCTTTAAATTAAATCAAACCTATCAATTTACATTACTGAATTAATATGATATAAAAGCCGAGTTCCAGTGGCAATCTTTTGGCTTTATCTTCATACCCTCGTCATCATGTGTAATGGAAATTACTCATTATAACAAAACACACTTGCCCAAATATAACTATCCTACCATGTGATCAGATCAGCTCGATGGTATCATAATATTGCATTGTCACCAGACTTACATAAGTATGCAAAATTTTGGCTCAATCGGACACCGAGAAGTGGGTTAAATTTAACATGCAAGATTTGACCCTAACAAACATACATACATACATGCATACAAACATAAATACATGCATACATACTTACATACTTACATACATGCATTGCAAGATAAAAACTTTTAAAAATATTAATTGGTTAATAATTCCGGGGATCGTTTTATACTCACGAAGAGGGATCATTTCACCTCTCCAACCAAATTTCAAGACATCGATCAAAATATAACCTTCAAATACAACGTGCGGTATTCAAACATTGCTGAAATATAGCTGAACTGTAATGGAATGTGCCAATAAAATAACATTGCAATAAATCTCAACATGCAGAAAGTAATGAACCTCAAAATTAGGCTTACCATAGATTAGAAGCACGTTTTTTAATTTTTTACTAATAAAATCACGCTAAGTGCTCACACCACCATGACATTCGGAGAGGCAACTGGCGGGGTTGCGGGGAAGATGTTTGTTTTTATTTGGATATATGTCGCTGGTAGTCACTCTTATACACTTATACAGGGGGGGATCATTTTACCTCGAGGGATCGTATTACACGCATCTCCCCTACACATGTGATCTATGTTGAATAAAAAATTAATTATATACGGAGGGGGGATGCCCCTCCCCCCTCCCTATTAAAGCTATTTTCTCAGAAATCATTCAATCAAAATTTTATTCTTCAACATTTAAAATAAAAAATAGGCACTCCGGCAGGGGAAAAAGGTGGAGGGCATATCTACTCCTCCCCTAACCCTTTCCCATCGCCCCTCACACCCCTATTAAGGCGTTATGATTCTAAACCTTAACCATTTTTTCAGAAACACTAGAAGAGTGTATACCACTGTTGCCAAAAGACGAAGCATTAGAACTGTCGCCACCACCACCAGGAGCGACAAATTCTAACAGTCCATCCCAACAGGACATCATAAGCTAATTCAAAATTGTCTTCGATGCTTTATGGTGTACTTCAGTGCATTGGTGATGGAGTGTCGGGAAAGATTTTTTTTTATAGGATAGGGTGACAAACGAGCACACAGTCCACCTGATGGTAAGTGGTTGCTGTGGCCCATAGATATCTACATCTATCCCCGTTTGCGAATCAAAATGCAGATGCGTTGTCATCCGTGAGGACTAAGATGAAATGCCTCTTTTCCAGTAAAAAGGGCCTCCGGTTCTCTACACTCATCATACGAAACACAGCAGTGTTAAGCTGCTATTTGACGCTGGTATTCTGTGAGAGCGTGGTCCTTCCCCGGTCGAGCCGACCCATTCGTGCAACAACTATACCAGTAATATAGCTGCAGCATGGCTCTACCACGTAAAAAAGTTCTTATTTATTTGGGCCAAGCTCTTGGATATGGTTGACTATGTACCAAAGAGGAGTACTGACCAATTCAATTATATGTTCAATAGCAATGTAACTTACAGTTGCTGCGTTGTCACAGTTTATCAAAGAATGATTCCAATTAAACGAGCTTACCTTTTTCATGACATTATGAATAAATAGAGTATTTAATTTATTAGTTATTGAATTACTTGGTCAAACATCAGGAAGCGTACCTAAAGATGAAATAAATGAAAAAACTTATCATAAAACATTTATTACTTTCATTAGGTATTTGCATGGAATAGCTCTATAAAATTGTGAAGTATAAATAATATAAATATTGATTACAAATATATAAATAGCATTTATTTAATTTTTATACAGTGTAATTTTTTAAATAGCAAAATAATTAAATTTAATATTTTCTAAAGAAAAAAATTAAATATACCTGCTGCTATTATGAGGAGTCAGAATGTGTCAACTAAGGCACGTATGGCAATTCATAATGCTGTGTTAGTCCCTACTTTAATGTATGGTAGTGAAAGTTGGGTCTGGCAGAAGAAGTATGAGAGTAGAATAAATGCTGTAGAAATGCGTTCCTTAAGGAGTATGCTAAGGCTGAATCTGAATGACAGGGTGAGAAATAGTGTGATAAGAGAAAAGTGTGGTTTGCAAGATGACGTTGTGACAAGGATTTAGAAAGGAATGCTTCGGTGGTTTGGTCATGTAGAAAGAATAAACTAGGAAAGAGTGACAAAGCAAATTTATGTTGCAGAAGTGAACGGCAGGGTCGGGAAGGGACGCCCTAGACGAAGGTTTATCGACCAAATCGGCGATACATTAAAAATGGGCAAGATTAGGAGTACCCTTAACCGACGAGCGTGTATGCGTAGATATATGGATGTAAAAGAGGCGAGAGAGGTGTGTCAGGATCGCGCCAAATGGAAGTCCGTAGTCTCTGCCTACCCCTCTGGGTGACAGGCGTGAGTGTTTATGTATTATGTAATGCTAAAGAGTGTCTCATATTTCATCTGTTTTGTTATCTATGAGGTTTACCAAGTCCGGTACTTGATTGAATTCGAGATAATTCTGTTTTGAAATACACCTCGGTGGTACATCTGCGGCCCATAGACATCTATATGTATTCTCTATTACAAATCAAAATGCAGATGCGTTTTCACCCGTGAGGACTAGGATGGAATGCCTCATAAAAAGGGCCTCCGGCCACCTGCACTCACCAAGCGAGACGCAGAGGTAAACCTCTACTTCACGTTGGTATTCTGTGATGTCGTGGTACCACCCCGGTTCGAGCCGGCCCATCCGTGCAACAGCAAGAGCTGCCGCGTGACTCTACTACTGTTAATAACTAATACTATCTCTTGAGATGACACTGGTGAAATTTTGATTGTCATTAATCTATTACTGTGATTGTAAATAAATTAAATTATGATGTTTTCATAATTTATGCTGTGTTTAGAAGCTTATTTTTATTTCTGACATTATTTTCAGGGAAACTATTCTTGAGGCATGGATACATCATGGTCAGCTTGGTATACAAGAAGATGTTATAATGTGCCATCGGCAATAGTAATTATTTGAGCACATTAAGATGATTGAGAGGAATTCAACATAATATATTGTTCTTGCATTGTCATCTTCTGCAGCGAATGAATTTGTAAAATAATTGAAATATTAATTTGTAATTAATGTGCAGTTTGTTTGCTTTTAGTTAAGAGTTTTTATTGATTATTTTAATTTTGACAGACTATAAATGCAAAATTGTGACTATTAGTTAGATAAATAACAAAAAAATGTAACCTTAAGTACCTAATACCACCCATATATGCAATGGGATATTCTTAATCACATATTTAGAAACTATATAATAATTATTATAATAAGAATAATTAAGTAATATGTTTATAAACTTGATAATATGAACTTGAAAATTTTCTGATAATAGATATTTTAAAATGTAGGTAATTATGTTGATGATTTATTAGCAATTGTTCCGTGACAATAATTTCTTGAGTTCAATAAGGAATTCTTATTTAGAAAACCAAAGAACTGATATTCTTCATATATGGAATTCCAACGAATTCACATATTGTATATATTTATATATTCAATATGTATTCATTATAAAAAAATTTACAGTAATTAATTTTTTTAAAATGTTCTGCAGTAATGTAAAATGTATTCAAATAGAATCTTACTATTTACTTTTAGCGCTTAATACACATATTTAAAAAAAAAAATTGTACAATCATTTAAATACATGTAGGTGTCTATGAGCTACAGTATCCACTCACCATCAGGTGGACTGTGTGTTATATTTTATAATTAATAGAATCAGGCGTTACTTTGCGGAAATCCATTATATAAAAGCTTTTAGAAATATTATACTTCGCAAATATCCGCGTTATAAAAAAAATGATGTGTCTTACCTAGTATGAAGAGCACCTCCCGCCCTCCCCCAATTGCGTGCACTATCCCCGTCACCACTAAACCCAGCACCGCTACTCCCAACACCACTACACTAGGCAAGACACACCACTGACGATAATACGACACGTATTTCGCCTCTACACGAGGCATCCTCAGGTGATATAGACTATATGTTATATTTTATAAAAAATACTCCTAGTTTCCGGCCTAGGTATTTCGTTTGTCACTACTAACACCACTATACCAGGAAATTCAAATCACCGTCGGTAATACACATTTTTCGCCTCAATAAGACTCTCTTCAAACTGGGTAATGCCCACCATTTTGTTTCATGCGAATTTTAGCTAATTAATTTCCACATCTTTAACATGATTAAATACATGAAATTATCTAATATTTTGTATTAAAAAGCGAAGTGACAGCTCTTATACGTTCCATTACTAGGTACATACACGCTTCTTCCATTTCTTAGGGATTTGTCATTAATGAAACAATAAAGAATTTCATACTTTGCGAATATTATGTGTAGCTATGTAACAATACTAATATCTCACCCGCTACTTAACTACTGTTTTTTATACTGCGGACTACTAAAGGACTTTAATATAAACAAGTATCTCAGGCATGGTTTAGTCGCTCCTGTAGAATAACATCACGCTATAAGCAGGAGTGCTACCGGGCCTGGGCTGACGCATAAACGACCCAGGATGTAAGCACTTAAAAAAAAGTATAATTCCGCATCCATCCATCCTTCAAACAAGTCATTGCCAAGGCAAAGTCAGAGCACATAGGCAGAATTGGCGAGATACTAGTTCGCCTTCCTTCGGGAACCCTATGTGTTTTGTTAATTAATTGTGTAATTTTGATATTTTTATTTAATAATTGTGTGATTTTAATTAATTGAATAATTGAAATGAAAATGTTTATTTCTAGTATATTAATATTAGGAATAATCGAATTTTTACTATTATTATTATAATCATCTATATTATCATCATTATTGTTATTACATTTGATTATGTAAAAAAGACCAGATTGAAGTTAGCGTAGAACATTCTTTTTTTGAACTAAACTGTATGGCAATTAATTGCTCCATAAATGCTCCAGCAGAATCCGAAATTGCTCCACCTCTATTGTTATTAGTTATTTTATAATTAATTTTTAAAAAAATTAAGTATTAAAAATTAAATTTTGCTATAAAGTATAAAATATCTACTGTTTTAAATTAATCCGTATGCCAATTAATTGCTCCTTAAATGCTCCAGTAGAATCCGAAACTGCTCCACCTCTATTGTAATTAGTTAATTTATAATTAATTAAAAAAAAATTAAGTATCGACAATTCAATTTTGCTATAAAACATAAAATATTGTTACGAGCTTCGGGTTCGAGACAATTAAAAACTGCCGACTGAATTACCAAAATTGACACTTTAATTACACAACACTAATTACAATCAAAAATCACACTAATAATAAAACACAGTTCGCCGTTATTTCGCTTCGAAGTATTCTCTTGTATCGCCAATTCAATACTGCCCCGGTCGTGGTCTATACCGGTCTTATATAGGGCCTCAGATAGTTTCCAGAACCTTCTACTGTAGCGACATCTAGAATGTTCGAGTACATATCGGTCCCGAAATTTCTGGAAGGATCTCGACTCTCCTAGTTCTGCTACTCGACACTAGAGGGCGCTAGTGTGACTAGTGTTGCCATGTACAAGACATTAATAGTGGCGCGTAACAATATCTACGTTTTAAAATTACACTGTATGCCAATTATTTGCTCCTTAAATGCTCCAGCAGAATCCGAATTTGCTCCACCTCTATTGCTATTAGTTAATTTATAAATAATTTTTAAAAAATTTAAGTATCGAAAATTTAATTTTGCTATAAAACAGAAAATATATATTTTTTAAAATTAATCTGTATGCCAATTATTTGCTCTTTAAATGCTTCAGCTGAATCCAAAATTGCTATACCTCTATTGCTATTAGTTAATTTATAATTAATTTTTAAAAAAATAACCAGAAGGAAGTTAGCGTAGAACATAATTTTTTTTAATTAAATTGTATACCAATTAATTGCTCCTTAAATGCTCCAGCAGAATCCGAAATTGCTCCACCTCTATTGTTATTAGTTAATTTATAATTAATTTTTTA